AGCCCTTCCTATAGACAGGATAGAGCTCTTCCTATAGACAGGATAAAGATCTTCACTCAAAAACCTCCAACTCTTAGCTGCTCCATTGCTGTTGCTTTCAACTTGATTAATACAATCAGATGCAACCTATAAAAATCTGGTTTGTGACCTCAGGAGTTTGACTAAGCAAGCCTCCACCAGGTTATAATTAGACAAGAGACAGAACAAGATAAAAATGAAGTGTTTGTAATAACCGAGAGTACCGAGATGATGTGCTGCATGCTACACTGATTTCTACATAAACAAGAGAGAAAGGAGTTAAAAAAAATAGCTGCAATGTGAAGTAAGACTTTGAGGAATAAAAGGGAACTCCCCTGACCAACCGAAATCTCCTCAGAATAGAACAATTAAACAGCAAGCAAGTGGTTGGCCAAAGTCTGAAATCCTTCAGAACTCACATAAGTGAGCCACCTTTAACCTTTGCTATAACCCAACACGCACAAACAGACAGTCAAGTCAACCTAGGAATCTCTGTTTGTAGATATTTTTAGACTGTGCCCTCTAACAACAGGAATGCAGAATTTGAAAAGTGGTTGATGAAACGAATCCAAAGGACAGCGTCAGATAGTCTGAGTCCATGAACTGAGGCTGTGTGTTAGAATGCGGCTGTGAGACTCGGTCTGGCCTCCCCTCCCCCACAGGGCCAGCTGCAGCTCTTCTCTCCAGTGGCTCTGTTTGGCTGATCTGTTTTATACTTCATACAAAAGAAACAGCCACTAAAGTTGGGGTATGGGGAATTCCGAAGTGAAAACTATAGGTGTCATTAAATCAATAAAGAGACAAACCGCATTACCAAATTTAACTCGAGTTCCAAATGTCTAGGGCTATGACAAGAGTTAGTTAAGTTACATAAGGACTCAGTAGCATGATGAAATATTTTTGCAGTCATTTAAATGGACAGAAAATGTTTACCACACCGAGAGAGAGAGAGAGAGAGAGAGAGAGAGAGAGAGAGAGAGAGAGAGAGAACTAAAATTCAAAGGGTGATTGGACACTGTCTAAAAGCCAGTGTGGAAACAAATGCAGAAAGGAAATGGGGGTTATGGTTACGTCCTCTTGATGAGTTTTACTCTCAATACTGTTTTAAATTGGGTTTTAAATAATTACATTACTTTTTAAAATATTTTGCTTTTTGAGACAGGGTTTCTCTGTGTAGCCCTGGCTATCCTGGACCTCTCTCTGTAAATCTGGCTCAAACTCAGAGATCCTCCTGCCTTTGAGTGTGGGGATGAAAGGTGTGCACCACCACTGCCTGGCTCATGTTGCTTCCCCCGCTAGTTAAAAATATCAATGCTCAGTCAGGTAGTGGTAGAGCATGTCTTTAATCTCAGCACTTGTGAAGCAGAGGAATGAGGATCCCTGTGAGTTTGAAGCCTGCCTTGTCTATAGAGTAAGCTTCAGGATAGCCAGGGCTGTACAGAGAAACTGTCTCAGTAAGCCAAAATAAGTAAGTAAATAAAATAAAAAAATATTTGTTCAGGCTGCCATTTTGAGTTCAGATAAAAGGAAAAATATAAGTAAATACTTCCAAACCTCTTCAATATTTGATTTCAGTTCAAGTTGGTTTTGTTTATTTTATGTTTCTTACCACCCCCTCCCTTCTTTTATCTTCTTGAAGCTGTTGAAATTCTCACCTCATGCTGTTCGGTGCTTCTCTCTGGAGGAAGTCCCAGGCTCTGCCACTGCTCCTCCTAAGTGCACTATCGCTCACACTGCACACATATTTAATGTACTTCCCTTAAATGAATGCTGTAATGAGATTTTAAAAGACGCAGAAAGAAGCAGTAGGACAAAATAGCCTAGAATATCCCTTCAGTTAACGTTTGGCTGCAGAATGTCCTGCAGTCAGTGCTGAGCTGTATAAAAAAGGAAGGCTGGGGAGGAGGGGATGGAGCGATGAGAGTCCTCAGGCGACTGATGACACACAGACCTCAGCCAGGACCCCTCAGCTCCCTCTGCGCTGTAGCCTTGTTAGCACTACAAATATACACTGAGACTCCCAGAAGCTCAGCCAGAGAAATGAGAGCTCGGTTTGAACCCTAATCTCTTGGTTCATATATAGGGCTTTTCTTTTAATTCTAACTTGTCTCAGTGAATTTAATTTAATTTAATTGGTTTATCTTGCAAAAAGTTTATTATTATTTATTTTTTGACAGGATCTTATTATGCAATTCAGGCTTGCTTGGAACTTGTGATTCTCCTGCCTCAGCCACTTGAGGGCTGTGATTTTAGGCGTATACCAGTGTGACTGAAGTCTGTCTTCTTCTTCTTCTTCTTCTTCTTCTTCTTCTTCTTCTTCTTCTTCTTCTTCTTCTTCTTCTTCTTCTTCTTCCTTTATTTAGCAAAAGACTGTGTGTGTGAGTGTTCTTTTAGATTTAACGATGTAGTATAAAATGTTCACATTTTATAACAAATTGATATGAGATAAAAGGAATAAAAACAAAAACAAAGCAGAAAATCAAAATTAGAAAGTCAGAGTAGAAAAGGTGATGCCATCCTGTTGGGGTCCAGCCTCAATGGGGTTCACACGTTTTAGGGTAAGGGCATGTGGATTAAAAACACCAGACAGACAGAACAGAGATACAAAGGAAATGGACAGGGACACAGAATAGAACCAAACTGGGAAGACAATCCAGTGAATACTGAATTTGCCCCTGTTTATTTTCCATATGCTTATATACCCTAGTCCAAAAATGGGGGAGAAGGCAAAGATTGTTTTAACATGATACAAAGAAAAACAGGGCAATTACTTCTTCAATACCTGAAGCATCAAGCAATTATACCCTGAGTTAAGTTCTATTTGTTCAGGCAGGACATGCAGCGACCACCGCGTCCACCAAGTATCCTGTAGGCAGCTTCTCTTTGGGTCAAACCTTCTGTCACATCCATGAAGGAGCAGGAATAGGCCTGAACTCTCTGGTCTTTATAGCCAAGGTGGGACGGACCCACTTCTGTGGGCTCCCACGCCATCCTTCTGCAGGAGATGGGAACTAACACAGAGACCAAAGGCTGGACAACTGCAGAGACTGTGAGACCTTGGAGCACTCAGTCCTAGATGGGCGTCTCCATCAAACCCCTCCCCGAGGACTCTGATGACCCTGCAGAACAGACAGAAAGATTGGCAGAGCCAGAGCAGATGGAGGACACCAAGGAAACAGTGTCTTCCAGACATAGAAGGACCGACACACTTGAAGGCCCAGAGACTGTGACAGAGGCACAGGGCCTGCACATCCAAATCAGATGGGGTCCCAGTGCTGAGAAGGGAAGAGGACATGACTCCCATCCCCAACCTAGAACCTATTCCCAACAGTCAACTGCTCGCAAAGGAAAAATTAGTTTTCTCCAACAGAGTCTCATGGGGTGTACAAACCACTCTGAAGGGCAGGCTCTGTGTCCAGCAGTTGATGACCAACACAAAAAGAACTCTGGTATTTTTGGAGACTTTTTGCTTTTTGTCTCATATTGCATTGCTTGGACATTATTATTTTTTAAATCTTTCTATCTTTTTGGCTTCATTTTTTCTTTTTCTATATTTAATTGAAAATAATTTTTCCCATCATATATTCTGATTTGGTTCCTTTCTCTCATCTCCTCCAAGAGCATCCCGATCCATTTAACTCCACGACTTCTTTTGGTCTCATTTTAGAAAGCAAACAAGTGAATAAAAGAAAAACAACCAAACCAGAATAAAACTAAACAAACAGAAAAAGAAAAAGCATGAGAAACACATATACACACTTGCACACACACACACACACACACACACACACACACACCATATAAACACAAACATGAAAATCACAAGGGATTCCAGCGAAACGATTTTGCATGTAATGATCAGTTTACGTGTTGGCAAATACAATGACCTCACCCACACACAGCACACCAGTCCCAACTGGACTGCCGTAACTCTAGGTGTGATCTTTTCGTTCCACCAGGTATCAAAGGATTCCAGGCTGACAGATTTATGGGCTTTCTTAAGCAGAAGAGCTGTGCTTCCAAGGGGGTCAGACAGATTCCTTCTCTTTTGATGACGGCCTGGTGGAGCCATAGTGATTGGCACATCACTCAGAGAGGTCCCGTGCTCTGGACGAGTCTGAAAACAGGAGAGACCGCAAATAAAAGTAAGTTTAGTAAAAGCCAGGAACCAAAGCATCAGTTTCTTTTCAATCTAGGTAGTTTATTCTGGGTAATGAAGGTCAAACGAGCATTATCTCAGAGGTCTGGGAGGGATACCCGGGTCCTTTACTGAGGAGCCAGGTAAGTCTGGGCAGGTGACATTGCACTGCTGGTTTTAACCTAATTTAGAGGTGAAAATGAGGAAACAGAATTTTATAGTCTGATGCTCGCTCTGATTCTCCTCTCTCTCGTAAAGATGTTTTGACTGGAATGTTGATTCGGAGACTCAGGACATCTGGTAACTTGAGTGGGTCAAGGCTGGAAATACCTTCTCCCCCAAGTAACAACTCGCTTTTCCTTATCCGTGAACATCCTCGCCAGGGATATTGTTGAAAGAACTGAAGATTTATGAACTTTTCAGAGTGGCAGGCTCAAGAAATACTTAAGGGAATGTTAGAGCTCTGGAGAAACAATGAAAGGGTACAGGTGAAAAAGGACCCTGGAGAGAAGGGCAGGTAGGGATTCTCTCGGGAGACGAATGGAAACCGGAGGTTGGTTTCTCCCTTCCTTCTTTCCTTCCTTTTTTTTTTTTTTTTTTGAGTCAGGGTTTCTCTGTGCAACAATCCCGGCTTCCTTGAAACTCACTCTAGACCAGACTGACCTTGAACTCAGAATTCCACCTGCCTTTCTGCCAGCCAAGTGCTGGAATTAAAGGTGTGTGCCACCGCAGCTGGTCTGAAGATTTCTCACTTAATATACCATCCAAACGCTTACTTAGTTCAGGACTGAAGTTTAGATGTATCTAAACTTTGGTTATTTAACCAAAGTATTTAAACTTTGGTTACAGCTTGTGTCTTCAAAGGCCTTTTAAGTTCATAGGTGATATAAAAAAACATATGTACGAGAATACAATGTAGGAAATAGATATTTTACTAGAAATTGAGGGAGAAGTTAAAGAATCCCTTTGACCACAAAGGTAAAGGTAAAGAAATAACTATTTCTAAGGACCAGAAATGTCAGGAAATAGGCCTGGGCTCCGTGGGTAAGGGCTAAGTGCTTGCTTTGCAGGCTCACACTGAGTTTCATCCTCAGAACCCACAGAAAAGCGCTAGGTTGGTAGTGTGCTCTTGCAATGCCGCAACTGAGGAGAAAGAAACTGGGGAGTCCCTGGGGTTCCAGGACCATGAGAGGTCATCTCAAAGGAGGTGGTGACTTTCCTGGGGCTGGGATGACACCTGAGGTTTTCTCTGACCTTCACATGTGTACCCTCACACCATAAACATGCACACATGTTTAAAGACATGTCAGGAAGGAGCATGTGAACTGAAAGTGGTACCGAAGTTTAAAAAACAGGCACGCTGAAGGCAGTGGCAGCTTCCTCTGTGACCAGATAGAGATGCTAACTCTGTCTAGGCGCCCAGCCCAGGATGTATAGTGTAAGGACCCTGTGATCTTTGGGACCTCTCAGAGCCATCTGGCATCCTTCAGTCCTGACCTGCTCGATGCATGAAAGTAGACGTCTTGTTTTGTTGTTTCTGGAGATCATCTGGCTGTTTTGTCACGTGATCAAACAGTGTATGACAGATATTCAAGTCACGGTTTTAATGACATAATGGAGTGATGAGGAGTTTAGAGTTACAGGTCAGATTTTAACTGACCCCGGAAATACATCTGAAGGAAAGGTGTGTTTCCTAAGGTGGAGTCGGCAGACAGGAGAAGGTCACAGCGAGACTCGGGATTTGTGGTCGGGCCCACACTGAGCTTCTGAGCTCACTACTATGAAGATCTGATGTATCACTCACCGCTCTGAGCATCAGCCTCCTTAGCTCTAAGATGGCATCTACTTTCTCTAAGCTCTGGGCTTGCTCTGCTTTCCCAGATTCTTACAGGGACCAAATGAAGTGATGGCTTATTAAGTTAGTGCTTTGCTTTTCTCTAATAGCAGAGACGTCCTGTGCATCTTTAGCCCTTCAACCTCCAGCCTCTAACATTGTCTATAGTAGGCACTTGATAGACTGTGTTACACCGCACAGTGCTTGCCTGTTATGCACAAGGCCCTGAGTTGGGTCCCATCTCTGTGTAAATCGGTGTAGCAGCACATGCCTATAATGCTGACATGTTTGGATGGAGGCAGGAGGATCAGAAGTTCAAGATCATCTTTGGTTACATAGCAAATTTCAGGCCAGCCTGGACGACATGAAACATTGTTTCAAATTGTATAGCTCTTTAAGCAAGCCATTCTCTGCATTGCTTGAGCATCTTTAATGGAAGTTGGATTGTCCCAGAGGGCATTTATTCCTTTGGCCCATCATACCCTATCAAGCTGCACTTCTCTGATGAAGAACAGTGTTGTCTTCCTCAGCTGCAACCATTGATGGTTCCTTTATATCACGTGGCTTTCCTTTGGCCCCATTCATTACTATCTACACAATGTCATCTGTCGTATGGAGGGCTTTGCCACTCCAGATCATAGGGTCTGTTCTGTGTTAGTTAACAGCTACCCACAGTGGGCAGCTTAGCACACTGCTCGGCAGGAAATCACATTGGAAATGATTTGTTTTATTTTAGTCTTGTCATCCTGGGCAGCTCTGCATTGCTTTATCTGAGCCTGAGAAACGGTTCTGAACGTGAGTGGTCAGAATCAAGTCGTGTTCTCGCCCGTCATCACACTTGGCACGTTGGCTTTCCGGACATACCCAGTGGACACTGTGCAGACATTCTCCAGGTAATCTCAGGAAGACTGGAGACTTTAGAAGGCCACTCTTTATATTTAGGGGTAAGTGGCAAGAGCAGGAAATGCTTACTTCTGTTTGGGTTGTGTTTTCTTAGCTTGGAGGAGAATTATAACTTAATGGGATTGATTAATGACCCCCACAGGAGACACAGCCCTGTGGCTGGGACCGAATGGGCTGAGTGCATAGTTTGCTTTTCAATCTCCCAAGATCTTTAGCAGTTGTAAAGCATTTACTTTCCCGGTTTACTTTGGGGAATACACTCTGTAATTAAAAAATGTGCTCTGACTGGAAGCCCCAGTGCTCTCTGTGGAGGCTTCTGGAGACTGTCACATCCAAAAGAAAACGACCACGTCTCTCATGCTGCAGAGAGCATTTAAGTTTGACTGAAGTCCCCTTCAGAAATGTTATCATTTGATTTGTTGATGCAGAAATATTCCTTCGGAATAGGGATCACGTCCGACTGGCTTGGGGAAGATGCCAACACCTTAGGAAGAAGGTGAAGTGAAAGCAGGAGTGCCCAGGGCTCCACCCTTCTCGGTCCTCGGCGTCCTGTGTCATGCAGGGTTGGGTGGGCTTCTGTGAGTCTTTCCAAAGCTCCTGGCCAGATAAAGTGCAAGTCCCTGGTGAGTAGGAACTAGAACTCACCACTAGTTGATCTCTTCTTGAGAGTGATTCAATATATTAGATGCAGTTGTTCATGAGTCTTTTACTCATTCACAGATACATTAACGCAACAAGCCATTGACTGTGTTTTTCAGAAAAAAAACAAGTGTGAGCTAAAACAAACTCCGGCCCTCATAGATTATTCTTTCTGGTAGCAGAGAAAGTCACCCAAGAGTAATCAAATGAGAAGACAGAACTCTGTGTGGTTGCTTCACCTGCAGGGGTGCTGGGTGGAACCTAGTTCTTCACAACAGAGGGGGACAGGGACTCTGCTTTGGATGAGGCAGCCGGAGAAGTCATGCTGGAGAACAACTGAGGAGGCCTGACTGCAGAAAGGAAGGGAGAGAGTGAACGGATCAACCTGGGAAAAGCAGTTCAGACAGATGGACAATACAAAGACAGAAGAAGTATGGGGACTGTGACAGAGAAATTGTTCTCTGTGGTTTAGCGGTTCTGTTGAAATACCAGTTCTGCGCCTTGATTAGCTTTCATTGTCAATTTGACACAACATAGAGTCACCTGGGAACAAGGAACTGTTTATTGAGGAAGTGTCTAGATCAAATTAGCACGCTGGCATGTCTGCGAGGCTTTGTCTTTATGGATGTTGGATGGAAGAGGCCCTAGCCCACTGTGGGTGGCACCATCCCTACGCAAGAGTTCCTGGCCTGTATGAAAACGCGTTAGCATAGGAGTGAGCTGGGGAGTGCACCAGTGAGCAGCGTTCCTTCACAGCTTCAGAACGACCAGAGCCCAAACCAGGCCATCACTGGCTTTCTCATTCCCAGTTTAGAACTCGCTCTTCCAGAAACTAGATCAATTCGAGGAATTCTGACCTTCAGAACTGAAGCTTTGACTCTGAAATTTCTACCAAATGTATCTACTTTACTGTGGAGAATAATCTTAGCCAGAAATCTAGGAGAAATGAGAGTTTTGGTTTTGTTTTAGTTTCAGTATGGGATTTTACTCCATTGCTCAGCCTGGCCTGGAACTCACAATCCCCCTGTCTCAGCCTTCCAAGTACTGAGGTTATAGCTATGCATCACTAAGCCCAGCTACAAATTGGGATTAAACTGACTAATTTCAGTCTAACTAGAAAGTAAAAAATAAATTAGAAAGTCATCTCTCTTTTTACTCTGTAGCAAATACTTTTGAACCACACAGTTTATTGCCCAGTGTGGTTTGCCAATTCTGGGTGTGCATGAGTCTATGCACATGTGTGCAGGTGTAGATATTTTATGTATGACAGACTGGCTATTCTGAGCATCTCTGCTAAAACCAGTGTACAATTCGGTGCAAACTCACATGCACAGGAAATAAGTGAGCTAAAGATGATCGGACTCTAAGAGCACTGAGGACCCCATTACGTAGGAAACTCAGGTTCAAAGCTCTGCGGTACATAAGGGCTCAGGGTTGATATCAGTTCTTTGGGGCAGGAACCCTAGCCAGGTTACATAGCTCTGAGACTTTGGAGAAGTTACTTCTTTCAATCCCTCATTTTTCATTGGCAAAAAGAAGGTAGTAACAAGATACAGCTCTCAGAGTGTTCTAGCAAAGGTAGGGTCTGATGCGTATTTTCACCATAAAGGTTTATTGTCATTGGCTGTGACAAGAGCTTATGATGTCTAACATACTCCCTCTCACTAACTTTATGAGACAGGAACTGTTATTATTCTTATTCTACAGGTGAGAAATCTGAGTAGACAGCGAGCAAATTGTCTGAGGACACTCAACGAGAATCAAGTCAGCTAACCACCCACCTTGATCTGCATCTGTTCCAAATCCAGACTTTCAACCATCATCAGAAGGATTTTTCTGTCCCACCTGCCAGCTCCCAAATGAGACTTATTATTAATTATAAAAGATCGGCTGATAGCTTAGGCTTATTACTAACTAGCTCTTACATCTTAAACTAACCCATTTTAACAGTCTACTTTTAGTCTCATGGCTTTATTACCTTATTCTGTTCTACCCATACTACCTTGTCTTCTTCTGGTTGGTGACTCTACACTTCTTCCCAGTGTCCTCTATGCCTGAAAATCCCCCTTAGCTATCGACCAGCTTTTTATTAAACCAAACAGAGTGACACATCTTTAAACAGTGTAATCATATTTCTTAAAACACCAGACTTGTTCCTGTCCACAGCCTTTCTCCGCCTTAACCCACCTTCTTCATTATCTCGTTATCTTTGCCTTCTTTACTCCTCTCAGTACACTTTCTCCATGGCACACTTCCCAAATCCAGCATCATAAACGACTGGGACTGCACTGGACGGTCAACACGGGACCTGGTCGCTTGCCTCCATCTAATTCAGTGTCTAAGAATTACATTAGTGATAATGCCGTTTTCACGAAATCACACGTCTGCAGTGGCCTTAAATACATCATGTCATAATTAATAATTCTTTTGTTTCCAGCTTAATAAAGCCACCTTAAGATTTACCTTGAGGGGTTTTATTCTGTTTGGCTTTGGAAAACATGGTCTTGGAAGCATTTGTTTTCAGCTCATGTGCTCACTTTAGAATGTTTTCTTCCTCAGGTCCTGAGAAAACTATATGGGGTTTAGGGCGATCACTTGCACCTCGGTGCATATTGACTCTGCTGTCTGTAGGATTTGACCTTCTTCTCCGAAGATATGGTCCAGAAAGGTGGCCCCACCATGTCTGCCTTTCCCAGTAATGGCAGTGGGATATGACCGCATTTTAAAGAGAAGGGGAAAAATTGCTTTTCCATCCAAAAGTGTAAGACTATGACTCATGCTGGAATTGGTTCAGAGTACTGGTCGAAAACTCCAGATTGGCACCCAAAGCTGGGGGATCCTGGGAAGACAAGGCAGCAGGGCGGCATTCAGAAGCCTGCACCTCGGAAGCCTAGGCTCACTGGAAAGATACAAGGGAGTAAGGCAGAGATAAGTTTTTAAAAAGCGCAGTTATGAACGGAAATAAAACAAGCAAAGATGCACCTTCCACTCTCACGGTCCTAGATAATAGGAGGAACTCCAAAGCTTCAAACGCAGCAAGTGAACGGGAAATCCAAAGAAAACCAACCTAGCCTCCTAAACAACGTGGAAATTTCCGTTTGCCCCAAAGGGCCCCAACCCCAGCCACAGAGGAAGCAAAGGGCGAAAACACAGCTCTGCCTGAAATGACCTCCTATTTTAAGAAAAATCAACAGCCCCAAAACAAGAAAAGGAAAAATAAAGTTCCACCCAGAAGGAAATTGTATGTAAACAGCCCGAAGGGAGCCGGAGGTCTGAGGGCCAGAGCACAAACGGAGCAAGCAGGGAAAGGCACCCTTAGCCCCTGACCATGTCAGCTTGGAACTTAGGCACACTGCTTTGTGATTGACAAGAAGGCTTGGGGGTGGGAGGCGCCAGACAAAAGCGAGCTGACTGAAAAGTCCCTTCTGCAGCGGGCAAACTTTGATCTTTGGAGTTTGCTATTCTTCCCCCGAGGACTTTGCTAGTGTGTAACCCAGGGAAGAACAGCAACCACAAAATGTTGGCTATAATTTTCTGCAATTTGTCAATGCCCTCTTAGAGCCCTGGTGAGAGGTTCTCGTTTGTTTTTAAGCAGCATCCTGTATGCCAGCAAAGAGAGTTCAGGAAAGATAAGAGGAAACTGGAATCTTCCTTCCAGCTTTGGTACTACTTGAACCCACAGCCGTGTGTGTGTGTGTGTGTGTGTGTGTGTGTGTGTGTGTGTAGAATAAAGTTGTGCCTCAGGCACCATCTACCTTCCACCTTTTTTTTTTTTTAAAATTTATTTTTAGACAGGGTCTCTAGGCAGCCTGGAACTCACCAATTAGGGTAGTAGTCTGTCTGGCCAGTGAGCCCAAGGGACCTCCCAGTCACAACTCTAGGACAAGTGTGGGCCACCACACCCTGGCCTTTATTTTATTTCATTATTATTACTGTTGTTATTATTATCATCATCATTATTATTATTTAATATGAGTTCTGGGGAATCAAACTCAGGTCCTCCTGCTTCAAAGAAATGATTTTTGCCAACCGAGTCATTGTCTTCCCCGCCCAGCCCATTTTAGTTTTGTGTGTTGGCATGCAAAGCTGTCAGGCCTACAAGGCCAAACACACCTATCTTTGGATCTAATACTTAAAAGTCAAGAGGTTCTAAGTAAAATTTTAATCTTATTTGCTGTTGACAGAACAGATCTCAGGCTGAAGGGGGTGACACCTGAAGCGTGTCGCCTACTGCCTGTGCAGGTGATAACGACGTTCCATCTGTCCCTTAGCTTCTGTCCCTTCTTGCTGGCCCCACCCACGGGAATTTGGAATTTGTATCACTTTCCAATTGGTCCATAGACATCATTAGGGCACCTCCTGTTTAGGCCAGGGTGGCAAGGACTGCTGGGGACATTATGGCAGAGTTGTGATCGCCGCTGGTGTTTTCTCTGGGACAGAGAACACAGTGTCATCTATGCCTGCCCCGTATTGTCTCTAGGATTTCTGGTCCAGTCTTTAAAATGGGTCCAGAGCGATTCTCACCCTTCTGTGACACATGCCCGAATCTGGTAATAAATATTCACTTCATCTCTAAACCTCTTAACAAAACTTGCAGTATAGACCTTATTGATTGCATGACAATCTCACTCTACACCGACCTTCTTGTCGTCGACACGTTACAGGCGGCAAGCATCAGGGGTAGTTCAGAGCCCAAAGTGAGTGAAAGACAACAGCCTCGCAAATTGTGCTCCAGGGCTTAATACAAGCCTCTGAAGCTGTGTCCACCAGTGTGGTGCTTCTTTAACACTCATCATTCATCCATCTGTCCCACCCACCCACGCACCCTCCCACCCACGCACCCACCCCCACCCCCCGCACCCACCCACCCCCCCCCCCCCCGAAAAACCCGCTGACCGGACCTCAGACGTGTCCCCACCCGACACTCCCCCACCCACCCCCCCTCCAACCCACGCACTCACCCATCCATCCACCCACCTACCCATCCCTTCATCATGCATTCTTTTAGCTATATTCTGAGACTTCCAGCTGCCTCCCGTAGGAAGCAGGCCTGTAGGTATTCTGTCCACTCCAACTGGCTTCTACAATCTCATCATGGTTCTTTACCTATGGCCCCTTGGCCATTTCTGAAATCCAGGGGAGATCAGTATATAACCAACACTTTCACACAAAATGGCCTGCCAGAAGCCCTGGGGTGAGCAGCTTTTCAAAGGTCTCCTCCCCTCAAATGAACCCCCTTTCATGCTTTCAGTTATGCTGTTGTTGGCGTCACAAGTACCCTGAAAAAAAGTTCTTAGAGGCAGCTGGCCCCTGTTGTCATTGAGACCTGAAGGAGGAGCTCCAGGACTGGGGGGCTGCTCCCTAGATGTCATGAGTTTGCTTGTATTTCAAAAGAATCTAGCTTACCACCTCTGTGCCTTTTAGCCTCTCTAATAAAGCAGTTTTTAGAAAGCTAAAAAACGTAATCTGCCTTTTAAATCTGATGTTCCTGCTGAGTCTAAATGGGGTTGCAGCAAAATGCCTGGCCAGCATTAGAGTTCCGTGAAGTCAATCAGCTGAGCTGGGGTTGCTTGGGGAAGCTGAAATATATGTGAAAGCACTCTGGGGGTGGTGAAAACAGCTGAACAAAGGCGAACCGCGTGAGAGCAAAGAAGCAGGCAGAGGCTTCCAAAGCTAAAGGGTCGCGTCTGTGTTTTAGAAATAACGGGAACTAAAGTAGGAGTGCTGATCCTAACTGTTGCTCTGTCCGATCAGAACGACCAGTGTTTTCTTCTTTAGGCACTGGAAATGTCATAATGAGTATGGCTTCATATACACAGCACAGGGTTGCCGGGGATGCACCAGGTGGTTGAATGAATGCCCAAGAACACTAAGAGGATGGGCTCAGAACAACGGTAAGGTAGCGATGGGCGTGGCTCTTATGTCTTCTCACACACTTTCCTTATCCCATCAGAAAAGCGGAAATGACTCGCTTCTTTGATAAGGCCAACTCTAGTTTTCTGTATTTCCCACTGGAAAAATCAACACAAAGAACACTGAGAAGAAAATCTATTGTCGATAAACTAGATTTTAAAAATGAAGGCAAGGTTAAAAATGGGGCTTCCAGCTGGGCAGTGGAGGCACATGCCTTCAATCCCAGCACTCGGGAGGCAGAGGCAGAGGCAGAGGCAGGCAGATCTCTGTGAATTTGAGGCCAGTCTGGTCTACAGAGCTAGTATCAAGTATCCAAAGCTATAGAGAAACTCTGTCTCAAAAACCAAACAAACAAACAAAGAAAACAGCAACAGCAATAAAAGATTAAGGGGTACAAAGGATTGTGTTCTTACCAATTCTCTGGATGGTAATAATACATGGATGGATGTGATTAAGGAAAAGTTTGGTCTATGGTGAAATAAAAGACAATTTTGGGTTACCCAACAAAAACACAACTTATTTGATAGGATTAGCTTGTTCTATTCCCAACAGATATCTCGGGAGATATAAAGAGGAGGAACAGAATCCACTTCTTCCATTAGCATTAGATTTACATGAGTTGCCTTCAGATCATATGAGACAAACTGAACTTTATGCTTGGCTATCTGGCAAGATGAGCATTGGCGTGGCAGGAGGATGTTGGAGGGGCCCTCTCTTCTACTTTCACTCTACACAAGACACATCGAGTGGGCCATGTTGCCAGAAAGTTCTTTTTCTTTGTTGGCTAATCCTGTGGAGGTAGAAACTTGAATGCGTTCCTTCTGCCAGTGTGTAGTTTCTAGCTATCCTTATAAGGCCAAACATGAGTGCCGAATGCAGTGCCTCAGAACACTTGAGAAGGTGGATGCATTTGAACAAATTGCAAGGAATTGAAGCCTTGGTTTGGGTAAGAATGGAAAAATCCAGATGCTTAGCCAAGGCGCTTCAGAAGGACTTTGATCTGGATATCTCAGGAGAATGAACTTGCGCCGTTCCAGCCTTCTCTGGTTTTGGGTAGGCAAGAACTATAGTAAAGAAATAAATAAAACCCAAAGTTTTTAATGGGCTTTAGAACTTCCACTTCTGGCTTCAACTGGGAGACAAAAGGCAAATAGATATTGTCCCGAAAACGCTAAGCCAGGAGTTTTTTCTAACCTCAAAAAAACATTGGGGTTTGATGAGGTTCAGCTTTGGGGCAAGTTTCAGGGCAGTGTTTGTTCTAGCGACTTCCTCTGCTCTCTGTGGAAAGTCTGCTGGAGTCTGCGGTGGTTCTGGAAGCCAAGCTCTGAGCGCTGTAGGCTTCACTGTCATGAGACAGGCTCCAATCTGTCATTTGTGTCTCTGCCCACATTTTCTTCAGTGTGTTCTTTGGATCTTGGCCTTCCCAGACAAGTCCCTACATGAAGGAGAGCCCAGACCTTTCTCATCCAGTGCTTTCTGGTGGAGCCTCCTTGTTTATGTCCCACGTCCCAGCATCTCCAGAACGTACCAGTTCCTGCTCCCTAAGAAG